TATCCCGCCTGTTTTTTTAAATTTTTTTACAATTAAATGGTGGAGAGGGCGTACAAGAGGAGGGAAGGTGACGTTGTAAGTACACTCGCGTGCGCACAAATCTTCACTGGAGTCCATGAAAGTAAACAAAAGTGCTGCATTCCGCCGACAGAACTAACTACTGAATACTGGTTCTTGTTCATTGTTGTAACTGGGATCTCCTGCTCCCCACCAGGGAAAGTTGATCACTGACGATTGCAGTAGCCACCTTTAGGACAAGGATACTAACCACATGTGAGCAGTTCGTCTCATCAGCTGCATTGGGGCAGTCCTTTCGTCGATCACACCATTTATGTTCCACAATGCAGGTACCGTCATCACATTGGCGATGTCCAGCAGCGCACTTTCGTAGGGTACATTGCGACTCGTCCAGACCATCGCTGCACTGTACAGTGCCGTCGCACACCTGTAAAATGCCAGAATAGCGCCAGGAAAAGCAAAAGCCCACTCTTCTATGGATCTAACAGTACCTTACTGCCCGGTATACACTTTCCATCATTACATCTGAATTCGCTTTCCGAGCATGGCCTACTGGTTCCACCACAGCTAGAATCAGTTTCATCAGAGTTGTCACCACAGTCATTCTCGCTGTCGCACATCCATCGCCGTGGAATGCACTTTCCAGTGGTTGCACAACGGAACTCGCCTGGAAAACCCGTTTATAGATGATATATTGAAAATTCAATGTTCAGAAACTCTCACCAATGTCGTCACAAGTCGGGCATCGTTCCTTGTTTTCGTCCGAGTTGTCCCGGCAGTCATCTTGACCGTTGCAGAAGGCCCAGTTTGGTATACATCTGTAATGGAGCGAGAGCGTCATAACGTCTTGTTTGGTGCGAAAGCTGGGTGTCAGGGAGAGTGATGGTGAGTTTGGCGTGGCACCAATCCGTTCTCCACCACTGTAGCTTGCCACGCATCAACAAATGGTGAAGTAGTGGAGGGCGCCGCGCCAAACCCAGCCCTCTTTATACCCCTCAGGATCCGTAGCGAGGTTGCAGCTCGCTTTACTACTTTTACGTTTAATGAGGAACAGCATTTAACACTTCAGGAGGACAAGCGCTTCAGCATTAAGCGTTGATGGAAGCTTTTCAGGATGCGCCACATGTCCGACTCCTGGTCAAGGTTTCCAAAGAATAGTCGCACATTTC